TGGGGGAGGGGGGTTTGCCCGCCCCGGGTTGGGTTTTAAGGGGAACCCCTCTTGGTGAAACAGGCGTGGCACCAAAATTATTTTTGAGCCAGGTTTTTAAAATATTAGTGGTTTTTTATGTGAACCCAGGCCCTTAGGGAAGGGTAAAAAAAACAAAAGCCCCCCTCATTCCCTGTCCTTCGGGGGGGGAGAAACAAAACCCCTCGCAGGATTCCTGTGCCAAATCCCGAGGAAAGCCCTTCTTTTGGAGGGGGGGGGGGAATTGGGCCAATCCCAGGAAAAGGAGGACTTGGGGGGGGGGGGGGGGTTGGGACAATCCCATGAGAAAGAGGACTTCATTGGGGGAAACGGATTGTTTTAATGACAGGGTTTGGGTAAATGGAGGCAGGCCTGGACTTTCTCCTATTTTATCGCTGTGCCATTTTTTAGAAGAATTTGCCAGACAGAGAGGCTTGAGTTTGTACCTCAACAGGGCTGTGGCCCACCTGGGGCTCAGGCTCTGTCCAGACCTGCCTCCTGGTCTCCCAAGGCTTCCTGGCTGCTGGGATTGCTCCGGGGTTTCCTGAGGTACCCGCCCCCTTTCTCTGGAAGCTTCTGATTCCATGGTGGCTCCCTTTCCCGCCTTCTGATCCACCGGGATGTTCCTCAGCTGCCTCTCTGCTCCTCCGGGCAAGTTCAAAACCTCTGAGACCCCCAAGGACCCTTCCAGGGGGAAAGGGCGGTGAACAGCAGACACAGGGCGTTTCCAAGTTCCAGGCGGACAAGACACTAGGATAGGGCCCCTCTTTTCTTTCTTTCTTCTTTTATATTTTAGGGCTTAGGTTAGAGATAAATGGGTATTTTACATGGCAACGTGCTGTCTTGTGACAAAATTACAAAGGAAATCAAACATTCATAGCATTTGCATGTATGTCAATATACTGAATGTTAACAAATTGATTATTACAGTCCACAAGTTCTCTCCAAGTACTTATTCAGAGTAAAGTTCTGATTTCTTTTTTTAATTGAATGTATTGGGGTGACCGGTTAATAAAATTACTTAGGTTTCAGGTGGACAGTTCTATAACACAGCATCTGTACACTGCACTGTGGGTTCACCACCCCAATCCAGTCTCCTTCCATCACCATGTACCCCCCTTTACCTCTGGGAATCCCCGTCCTGTCTGTGTCTGTGAGTTGTTATGGACCCTCTTTTCTGATCGCGCAGCCTCTTCGTGTCCTCAGAGAGCAGGTAGTCCCGCCTCCTCTCCGTCACCCCCTTCACCTCCTCACTGTCCAGTCCTCCCTCAAGAGGTGGCCTGGCCCCCTTCGCCTCCTCAGTGGAGGAGGGGCTGCCTCTCAGGTGGCCCATCCTCGGCCCATCCTCATCCCTGACCCTGATCGCTGTGGAGCCGTGTATTTGCATAGGAAAATCCCCAGGGTTCGACTATTGTCTTTCTGTGGACTTTGACTTTGAGGCTCAGAAAACCTCGGCCCTGACCTTGACCCCGGAGGACCTAGCTTACGGTGGTGGCCACACCTGCCTCCCCTGTTGGCGTGCCTTGTGCAATCGGTGGGCCAGCCCAGGTATGAGGGGCCCAGGGAAGGTCTGCCAGGTCTTAACCACAACTCTTTTTTTTTTTTAATGTATCTTTATAGTTGAAAGTATTACAGATGCCCCTCTTTCTCCCCCCACCCCCCCCATTGACCCCTCCCACTCCACAACCCCCCCCCCCAACCTGGCCACAGCTCTTTATTTGGGAGGCGGGGGGCACTTAAAACAACATACATTTATTATCTCATAGTTCTGTGCATTAAAACTAAAGTGTCAGCAAGACTTCCTTCCTTCCTGTAGGCTGTGGGGGAGAATCTGTTTTCTCACCTTTTCTGGCTGTTTTCCAAGCCGCCTATGGTCCTTGGCTCATGGTCTCCTGCCACTTCGAAGGCAGCAGCGGCCCGTCAAGTCTTCCTCACATCACACCCTCTAGCTCTGCTGCCTCACCCCTTCCCCGACTCCCAGCCACACCTCTGAGAACCTCCAAATGCAACTGGACTCGCCAGAGATGCCCCAGTGGGGAGGGAGCCACCGGGCCTTCCACCCACCTCAGCCCAGCCCCTCCCGTCAGCGGCTTTTCCAGAGCACAGCTGTGTTCTTAGAGAGGATTTCCCTGCTAAAAACAGCCACAAACCAACCGAGACGACAGTACCTGGTAGTCAAGACTGAGTCATGGGACCTGCAAGGTGTGTAGAGGGCCGGCCTGTGTGTGGGTCAGATCTGGCTGTGCCCCGACCCCTGCATGGGCCTGGGCCAGCGGCTTCACCTCCCGCCCCTCCCAGCTCCGCGGCCAAGCTGAGCCTCCTTCCCCTGCCCCTGAACCCCCACCTCCCATCCACCTCCTGTGAATGGTGGGATGAGGACCCCCCTTGGAAGCGGTGTGTGTAGTGGTTCAGAGATCAGCCCAGGACCAGAGACCCCAGCTTTACCACTTTGGGGCTTCGGGCAGCAGCACATTAGACCTCTCTGTGCCTCCGTTTCCTCATCTGTAAAATAGGGGTAACGATCGTTTTGAGAATGAAAGGGGTTAGTACTGTTTAAGATGCCTGGCCCGTTAAAATTGTCCCGTAAGTTTTACCTATTGTTATATTACTTCTATGACTATAGTGATCACCTGGCCAGGGTGCTTGCTTCTGAAGTTCCTAGATGCACAACAACAGTAGCCACCAATCTCATGATAACCCAGCGGTAGACAAGAGGCTCCCTGCACCCCAACATGGTGCAGAGATTAGCGAGAGGGTCTGCCTAGGAGAGTGTGCCTCTCACCGGGTCCCTGTGTCAGTCGTCCCCCCCCCCCTCACTACTATTAAGGGCCCGAAGCCCTATCAGATCTAAGACCTTGACCCCCCCCCCCCACCACACACACACACACACACACACACACACACACACACAAACACACGCACACACGCAGCACTATCTAGAGAATGTCCCAGGAGGTCCTGGCGCCAACACTCAGACTCTTGGGAGCCAGAGGGAATCCTGGGGGCAAGAAGAGAAGCTGCTGGGTGCCCGCAGTTATCTCTACTTTTGTTGGTTCTGCTTTCTCCCCTGGCTTCCCCACCCCCCTTGCCCCGCCCCCCGCTCTTGGTCTCCAGCCTCAGGTTGGAGCCCAGCAGCCAGGACTGGGGAATCCTGACTTTGGGAGTGCACGCAGCAGGCAGGGAACTGGAGCGCCCTGGGACTGTGGAGCGTGCCCAGAACCGGGCTTTTGGCCCTTTTGAGAGATGGGGAGTCTTAAATGTACCGCTGACTCTCTGCCTGGTAGGGCAGCAGACAGAGGCCTCTGCACCCTTCCCTGGGGTGCTCCCAGGAGTCACCGTCACATTCGAAGCCCGGATGGTCACATAGAGAGAGGGCCATAGCTGTACGCCTTGGAGTTGGGGATGAATATATTCTGATCCCAGGGCCTCTCTGACAAGCCCAGTCTCTTTTGAATAAATTATTTGGCTTTCTTGCACTGCTTTTCTAAAGTCGCATGCAGAGGGAAATGTAATCATCATTCCTTAAATGCTCCAGTTAGTAGAATTCCGATCAGTTGGGATTTTGGCCTTTCTTCTCTTTCCCCTCTGGCTATAGGGAAAGAGGAACTCCCTCACTGGAGGCCTGTGAAGTGTAGGTAAGCCCTCCTTGCTTGTGAGTGACACAGTCGGAGGCCACGGTGCTCCCTGCCTCTAGGAGGTGACAGCGTGAGCCTGAGAGGGGATGTGAGATTCCTGGCGATGTGTGGAGATTGGCTGAGGAGGTGTGGTGGCTCCTCACACCCTCCCCACGACGGTAGAAACCGCTTGGAGCACAGGCTGTTGCTGGAGGAAGCAGGAGCCTTCCTGTGAGCTGCCTGCAGGGAAGGAGACCACGCTTGTTGAGCACTTACTATGTGCTGGCCACACTCACTCCTCACAACAGTCCTATGAGGTCGGCACCATCGTCACTCCCATTGTGCACATGGGGAAACGGAGGCAAGGTTAAGGGACACAGCCAGCCAGTCAGTGGCAGAGCTGGGATGTGTCTGGGGTCACGTGGACCCTGCTGTCCTGCTCCTTCTGCTCTGCCCTCAAGGGCACCTCAAACACAGCCACGCACACAACCGTTGGTGGCTTGGGGGTTGGAGGAGCCCGGAAGGTGGGTGCTGGGTGACCGGGGCCAGCAGGTGTCCTCATCTACTCTGCTTGTTCCAGATTAGAAAGGCAAACACTTGAGAGAGAGGCAGCTTGTTTTCCTCCCTCTCTCCGAGATAAGCCAAGCTCCCGGGGCCCCAGAGGAGAGTCCACTGTGAGAGTGACAGGCTAAGGCCCGTAGGGGCTGGATCAGGGGAGAGATGGCTGCTGGGAGCTGCGCGTCCCAGGAAGGCTGCAGAAGACCCCAAGAAACCGGCCCCGGAAGCCCCCCCAATCCTGCCCAGGAGCACACACCCCGTCTGTGGGATCTGAGCCAACCGGCCCGCCACTGGGCAGATGAACCTCAGTGGCCAACGTGCCTTTGATCTCCAGCTCACGGTCCCCCTCCCCTGTCTCCTCTAGATGGGATCTATTACGGAGACAGTCGGTTTGACACGGAGAGCGAGTCGGGAACAGCCACGCTGAAAGCTCGGCCCAGAGTGCGGCCCCTGCTGACCTTCCTTCCGCTGGTGAGTACCGTTCTGCTCTGGGGTGTGAGGGTCTTCTCTGGACGGGCCACCTCGGCGGCCACCGGGGAGGGAGCCCCACCTGCCCTGGGCTAGCGGACATCAGCCTCACCCTCTGTCCATTCCCTTTCTTCCTGATGCCAACCCAGGGTGGCTTCTGGGAGGAGGCATGGCTGAGACTCATGGCAGAAAGGCTGGGATTAGGGGTGTTAGCCCCTCCATTTGAAACCCAGGGAGAGGTTAAGGGGAACTTGTGTGCAAAAGCAATGCAGTGGGGGGTACCTCCAGCTAAGCAGGATTCATATTTCATAGTCACTGGTGGCTGTCTGCTCCGTGCCAGGCCCTGCATTAGGTGCTGGGATGTGGAGGTGACTGAGCCAACATTGCAGCTCTCAAGGCAGGTCATGAGTGAATGAACAGACTATTAGAACATGGGCAGTTGCTCCAGTAATAGGGGTGGTCAAGGAGGGCTTCCTGGAAGAGGTGACACCTGAGCTGTCTCGAAGGACAAAGAGCAGCGACCCTTGGCAGAAGGGCATTTGCTTATAGATCTGAAACTACAAAAAACAAACAAACAAAACAATCCAAAACTCCCTTCTGGAGCCTGTGATGGACTCTTGTTCTTTGACAAGGGAGACTGCTCTGTGACTGGTTCTGTTTACTGTGATGAGAGTTTCTGGGTTTTCTGGGACAGCCTAGACTAGCGCTGTCCTATAGAAATATCATGTAAGCCTCATATGTAATTTTAAATTTTCTAGTAGCTACCTTAAAAGAAATAGGTAAAATTAATTTTCATAACATATTTTACTTAACTCAATGTATTCAAAAGATTATCATTTCAACATTTAGTCAATGTGAAAAATACCAATGAGAAGTTTTACATTCTTGTTTCACACTAAGTCTTTAAACTCTTGCACTAGCCGGTTTGGCTCAGTGGATAGAGCATGGGCCCACGGACTAAAGGATCCCGGGTTTGATTCTGGTCAACCGCACATACCTTAGTTGCAGGTTCCCCAGTCCTGGTTGGGGTGCATGCAGGAGGCAACCAATTGATGAGTCTCTTTCACATCGATGTTTCTCTCTGTCTCTTCTCTCCCTTCCCACTCTCTCTAAAAATCAATGGAAAAATATCCTTGGGTGAGGATTAACAACAACAACAAAAAACCTAATGTACTGCACTTACAGCTCACACCCCACTTCCAACAGCGACATTGCAGGGGCTCCGCAGCACATGTGGCCAGTGGCTGCTGTTGGACAGCCCAGGTCTAGAGCCTCAACAGTGAGCCCCATTGATTCTAGGTTCACTCCTGTCTGTCAGGTGGGTCCTGGTCGGGACAATACTGTTTCTGGGCTCCGTGAGGATTTATACCACCTGGACTGATGAGGCACCAAATCCTGGTCCGAGTCCTCAGGGCACCCCACACCTTGGTCCTGGGCACCGGCAGGTTCTGCCCAGCACGGCCTGGCACAACCACCTTTCTCCACCACCAATTTTTTTTTTCTGGTGTATCCCATCTCACCAACCAGACCCCGAGAATCTAGAAAGAATAGACCGAGCCTTTCGTTCTCCTTGCTGTATCCCCAAGGCCTCTCTGTAGAGGCCTGAGCACACAGACCTCTGGAAACACAACTTTAAATAATTTATTTTCTGTTTATAAAACAAGGGAGAGGGAGAGAGGGATAGAAACATCAATGATGAGTGAGAATCATTGATCAGCTGCCCCCTGCACGCCCCCTACTAGGGACTGAGCCTGCAACCTGGGCATGTGCCCTTGACTGGAATCGAACTCGGGACCCTTCAGTCCACAGGCTGTCGCTCTATCCACTGAGCCACACCAACTAGGGCTGGAAACACAACTTTAAATAATTTATTTTCTGTTTATAAAAACAGAAAATAAAAACAGACATTGTAGACAAACACAGAAAGAACAACAAAAAGGTGTAAAGCAAATGAGTCCGCCCAACCTTTGTTTCCAGGGATGCATAAACCTGTTACCGGGCTCATTGCACCCATAAACACAGACTAAACAATTTTTCTGTTGCTAGAGGTAATTAGATTCTCTCCCCTCGTGTACCCCCAGCACACATACTCCGATCACAGACGTGTGGGCCCATGGCTGACACACCCATACCTCGTCCGGTTGTAAAATATTGAAGTAAATGGCTGTTCCCACCTGAATGGCTCGTGCTGTCCTGGTTTCTCCACCAGATCTGAGTCAACAACGAATGGGTTAATGCTGAGCGTATTCTGACTGGTTGGCACCCTGACTGCCCCACCCACCCACCCACTTTGGGTCCCTTTGGTGACCAGGGCAAGTCCCAGCCTTTCTGTTCTCAGTTCTGGTTTGGACACTCTGGTTAGATCTGGTTTGGGCCAACCAGGGCCTGACTCAGGGGCCCGGCAGACCCCAGTCAGGTGGCCACTGGAGGGGGGTTGGCCGGCTGGTCAGGCCCGGTGACCTGAGGCTGCTTTCGGGGAGCGGCCCTTCCAGGCCAGCCCAGCGCACTCACACCCCCTCACTGGGGAGCACCAGAGAATGGACGCATGGAAAACTGCCAGCTCAAAGGGGTTCGTGAGGTTCACACTGGCCTCATTTTACAGAGGCAGGAGCTGAACCCCAAAAGGGAGGTTCGCCCCTGGCCTCTGGAGCCACTGGGTGCCCGCTGCACCGGGAAAGGCAGGTGGAGTGGCACGCGATGTTCCAGGGGTGTGTCGTTCGACAGCCACCCTATCAGGAAAGTGCTGTCATTAATCCCCATTCACAGAAGGGAAAGTGAAGTACAGAATGTGACAGTCACTTGTTTAAGGTCACACAGCTCCCAAGTGTCAGAGCTGGGATTTGAACCCCTGCAGCCGGCTCCAGGGTCTAAGTTCTATTCAAGCCATTTTACTCTCCCTCCACCCACTATCCAGAAGCTCTGATCTTCCCTCCCAGCACCAGCCTGCAGAGCCACCTGCACCTCCTGCCTGCCTCTCTCTCCCGCCAGCGGCCGGGCCTGCTGGGCACCCGGCTCTCTTGCCTCTGTGGGGACACGGGCCCCTTTGAGACCAGGACGAGGCTCTGGGCCACATCCGTGCGACGTGGCTTGTGCAGAGGGCTCTCGGGCCCCCGGAAGCCCTCCTCTGGGGCACCTTTACGTTAGGAACCCTTGGCCTGATGACCCATATCCCGGGGCCATCTCTGTGCTCCGACTTAGGTAACAAGATACACAGCAGCCCCAGAATCTTTCATCACCGGTTCCTGGGTTGAGGGGAAACTGGCTCCTCTCCCTTGGGCCCTGGGCCAGGCCCTTGCTGTCTTCCAGCTGGGGCAGGAGGCTGGAGCAGGAGGAGAGGCAAGAAGACAGCTCCTGTGGGTGTGGTCCACACACAGACACACTGCCAGCCCCTCCGAGTCCGGCTGGGTGGGGAGTGGCACTGTCCTAACCAGCTGGGCCTCTCCCCTCCATGTCCTCCCTCCCCACCCAGGGAGGCAGCCACGCCGCCCGAGAAGCCAGGCACAGCCCGCAGGGCCCCTGCTCTTCCTGCTCTGCCTGGACCTGGGTCGTCTTGTCTTCCAAAGGCACCCTCACTGTCCGTGTCCCGCACGAGCCTGCACAGGGACGGTGTGGGGGTGGGGGTGGGGGTGGGGAGAGGGCAGGATGAGGGGCAAGGACAACAGCAGGGGCTCTGCCCTCCCGGGAGCTTCCTCCCTCGGTTGGAGGTGGGCGATCAGAGGACTAGGAAATACCTCCTCAGGTGCCCGGCAGCCATAGGCCTATTGTGAAAAGGACCTGATTGATTCTCGGGTAACTGACACCAGTCCCTGCTCCTCACCCACGGGAGGGTCCCCGCTGCTGCGACTGTGTTAACGTAACTCTCCCAGTGTGGTCAGCTCTCCGGAGGCCCCCACCCCACCCCCGCCCCCACCGAAGCGGCCCCACAACACAGGGACCGCTCCCACAGCCCTGCTTCCACCTCCAGAAGGGGAAGGCCGCCCCGCTTCCTGCTCAGAGGGCTCTGAGGAGCTGGGTCACGCTTGCCAAGCTTCAGACCTGGGGGGCCCTCAGTGCTCATCTGGGTGAGAAAACTGGGGCCCCCGAGCGGCGGGGCCTGCCCACCGCACAGCTCAGTGAGGCAGCGATGGGACCCGAGCCGGGGCTCCTCCCGTCCAGTCCTGCCAACACCACCTGGGCCCGGGCGCAGTGGGAGGGATCCTTTCTCCCCACTTGCTTCACCTCCAGGGGAAGCCGGGCCCAGGGCTCAAGCCAGAGCCTGTCCACTGTTCAGAGCCGAGTCCCTAGGACAGCTGGTCGTGGGAGGGTGCTGCTTCCCTCTGGGGTTCCCTCTTCCCCACCCTGGTCTAAATGAAACCATCCCAGGGTGATAATGTGAGGAATTAAAAATTAAATGCCAATGTGGCAAGAACGGGGAAACTGGCCAGACAGGTCCCCGGGTGCCCCGGGCAGTGAGAGCTCCCTGGGTCACCCCACCCTCTGAGTCAGGCAGGCCCGGCGGTGCCCGGGGAGGTGTCAGGCTGGGCTCGGGGCAGGCCCCCACCTGCCCTGGACCCCCGCCCGGAAGCTCAGAGAGGCTCCGTGCCAGCAGATTGGCTTTTGGCAGATTTATGTGGCTGGCGATGGCTGGAAGGGCTGTGGGTGAGGGAGCTCTGGGTGTTCATGGGGGGAACACGTCACGAACGTGTTCATGAACATGAGCTCCGTGTGTTCCTGTCAGAGACCTGCAGGCAGAGTACAGACCGAGCACCCACCCCCTGCAGCCCAACCCTCTCCTCCCCACCTCACTCCTGCCCTGGAAGAGAGGGCCTCCGCCTGAACTCCCAAGCTCCATGCACACCCTCATCCTCTCCACCCCAGCCACCCTGCCACCCCTGCCACCCCTGCCACCCCTGGGCCCGGGCGGCCTCGGGGGACTGGCCGGGGAAGAAGCTCAAGTGGGCTCAGGACCATCTGGGCAAGGAATTCGGGGCCCTTGGTGCCTGACAGGGTCAAGAAGAGGGTGA